AAATAACTCTATATAAATGATTATATTGTTACCTTTAAAATTAAAAAAACAATGTTTGATGTTTTAAATAATTATAATGATAGAAATTAAAACGTTAAGCAAATAAATTTTAAAAAATTAATTAACAATAACAACAACTATAAATAGCATTAAACCATATATTATATTTAATTTTATTTATGAGTAACTCGCCGGTAGAAGTTATTCAAACGATTCAGATTATGCAGTTATAATAGATGTATATATATTGTCATATAATTCAAAATAATCAATATATTATATCAATTTAGTATACGAGTTATTATATCAAATTTAACAACAACATTATTGTTGTATTAAAAAAACATATATTTGTAATGATTTCAATTATATAGGTGTTTTTGCACAACGCGCGAGTATTTGTCTAGTGCTATTTAAAACAAGTCGTGTAGCCAAGCTTCCTAAGTTTTACAATTGCTAAGATTGGGGATCATTAATCATATTGCACTCATGATCGAGTCATGCAAGTAATGCGTATAAAACCAAAGGAAAACTTTATCGGACTTTGATATTAATCATATTGTGTAGTAAAATATAGCATACATAATAATAGAAAACAATAGATGTAGTATAGCTTTAAAAGATAATAGAGTGTACATGCCTACATTGAAGACGAGTACATGTTATAGACAAGTACATGTTATATATACGACATACCAAAACATACAAATCAAAGTAAAATTTTACATTGAGGTTGGAATTACTTTGATTAACCAAGTAATTTTTCTACACCCTTATTTTTAAAATATTTTTTAAATTTATCGTATTAAATCCAAAATATAGCTATTATAATTAATATTAATATTATAAAAAATTATATTTGAAATTACAATTGAACTAAAATTGCAACTTATTACCAAACTTAAAAGTTTTAAACATCTCCAGCTAGAAATAGCCCCATCTCACCCAACAATTACTCCACCCCCACCCCCACCCTCCACCCTACCCTACTCCTCACCATATATAAAAAATCATCGCTTATTCCATTATATGTCACTCCTTAACTCTAATCATTCATTTCTTCCAAAAAGTGAAACAAAATGACATCGCATTTTCACTCCTTCCAGTTCTTGCTACTAATCAGTATCACCCTTCTATGCACCACCATCACCACCACCATAGCTCAGTCAGCACCACCTCCCGGACCACCAGGTCCGACTAACATCACCAAAATCTTGGAAAAAGCCAGCCAATTCACCACCCTAATCCGTCTTTTTGCCATAACAAAGGTAGGTGACCAAATCAACACCCAACTCAACAACTCCAAACAGGGCATGACTGTATTCGCACCCACGGACAACGCCTTCTCCAGCCTCAGCGTCGGCACTCTCAACTCTCTTTCCGATCAACAAAAGGACGAATTGGTTCAGTTCCATGTCATTCCCACATTCATCTCCACCTCACAGTTCCAAACCCTTAGCAATCCGTTGAGGACACAGGCCGGAGATAGTACCAGTTATAACTTTCCGTTAAATATTACAACTTCCGGCAACCAGGTGAATCTAACCACTGGCATTGTTAATGCCACGGTGGCGAATGCAATTTACACGGACGGTTCACTTGCTGTGTATCAAGTGGACAAGGTGCTTTTGCCCATGAGCTTGTTTGGTCCGCAACCTCCTGCAGCCGCTCCAGCACCTGAACCATTGAAGGATAAGAAAAAGAAATCCGGGGACGAGGATACTACGGCAACCAGCGACGGTAAGGCTAGTGCCAACTCCGTCGGGAGAATAGGTTTACGTCGGGACTTGCATGGCTTGACTGGGGGAGCGATTGCTATCATCATAATGTTTTATTTGTAACAGATGGTCTAGATTATGCCACATCCGATTGTGGACGGTGAATCCATTCCTTTTGCATGATGTTTTTTTTGGGTGATTGTGATTAAGAGGGCAGTGTTATGACGATGTATCTATCTTCTATTTCGAGACCGGGTTATATTTGTTGAAATATATACTACTAAGATTGAAATAAATTTTCGGTTTTTAAAATTTATAAAAAGTTTATGTATGATCAGGGTTCTAAAAGACGCGAGGTGTGACATGACAGTAAAGCCAAACTTCAAGCTGTACGAGCCAAAGAAAACAATTACGTTTTTTAAAGACGTGATGTAAGACAACGATTTTATATTAATTTATAATTATATTACCACATAAATATAAATTTTTATATCAAACATAACCGCTTTTTAGAAGTGCTACATCAACTAATGACAAAAAACTAACAAAAAACCAAGGTTCTAGATAACGTTAGGCGTGTCTTGACGACAATGGATAAGTGGAACTCTCTGATTAGTCCCACGTTTGCCGGGGTGTAATTCCTTGGAGGAGAGGTTAAGGTGCGGTTCAGCACCTTAACCGCCACATCAGTGATCTTCGCGGTGGTGAGGCCCGACCTTGGCCTCAAACTGGGTCCTACTGGGTTATGACCAGGCCAAGCTCGGCCTTAGTTTGACTTTTCCTTTTTTGACGTCCCCCCTGAGGGATACGTTAACACACACACACACACACACACACACACACACATTATATATATATATATTATATATATATATATATATATATATATATTATATATATATATATATATATATATATATATATATAGGTTCTATGGAAAACAAAAAAACCCTAAAAAAAAAACCATAAAAATCATAAAAATGTTTTAAAAAAATACTTAGAGATCACAAATCTTTTTTTTGACTTTATATTCTTTAAAATCGCAACTTTTTATATAATTTCGTGGAAAATGTTTTTGAAAAAAAACCAAAAAAATAAAAATAATAAATAAATAAATAAATAAAATAAAAAATAAAAAAATTGATTTTTTATTCCAACGGATTTATAAAAAAAGTTGCGATTTTTAAGAATATAAAGTAAAAAAAAAAGATTTGTGATCTCTAAGTATTTTTTTATGCATTTTTATGATTTTTAGGGTTTTTTTGTTTTCCATATAACCCTTCCCTATATATAATATATATATATATATATTATATATATATATATATATATATATATATATATATATATATATATATATATATAAATTTGACGTAATTAAAACAAGATTAACAAAATTAAACTAAAACCTTAAGAAAGAAGAAGAAACATTTGGAGAGAATTTGATCACGTATAAAATGTATTCAAATTTATGTATCACATTCTTTACAATAGATGGATATTTATATTGATTTTATCAAGAACATTAAACTGAGTTTGAAAAGTGTAACATCCCATTTATTAATAAATAAATAGATAAAGATTAATAAATGAATAGTAGCCCTAAAATCCATAATATTTATCGGGGTGTTGGTTTCGGGGAGTCAAATGACATGATTTGGAGTTTCGGGGGTTAAAGTGTGATTTCGGGACTTATTTTGTAAAGATTTTAAGTAGTCAGGGGGTATTTGGTATCATTTGGACTTAATATGAAAGGATTTATGGAAGCAGGGGTTAAAGAGTAACTTTTGGACGTAAGTTGAAAAGATTTTGTAGAGGAGGGGCCATTTGGAAGCATTCAGACTTAAGTTGAAAGAAAAGAGAGAAGGAGGGACCATTTCTGTCATTATGGGTTGAAGTTTATATGAGTTGGGTATATAACCCGTCACCACCCATGTAACCCTAACCCTAAACGGATGCTTCAGCCGCCACTTCCTACCTCCCTTCACACCAGCCGCCACCCCTTTTTCCTCCGATCTCCGGCGCCGCTACCCCCTTTCTGTCGAGTCGCAAACCACCGATGTGGAGGTCCCAAGCCACCGAAGCCAACCACCTCACGATCATCCTACTGTAGGGAAGGGAGGTTGCGGTTGTCACTGCCGCCACTGTGCCGTTGCTGTTGAGGACGAAGCTGCCGACGAGGACCACCGGGTTATATCCGCTTTCACCGTACCTGCTGTGGCTGAGGACGAAAACCACCGTTAGGGCGTCGTTTAAGTCGGGATGTCGTTGTTCGTGTCGTCGTTGTTGTTGCCGACCGACCGCCGTTGTTTCCCGCCTTCTTGTGTCACCACCGCCGCCGTACGCCACCAGGTGGGTAGCTGGGTTTATTTCGCAAATAGAAGAGTGTGTGTGTGTGGTTACTTGGCCAGAAATCACAAGAGAGCCACCACCACCACCACCACCGTGAGGTGGTGGCTAGCACCTCCGACCACCGCCTACCGCCACAAGGTGGCTATGTTTGTGTTTTATTATGTGTGTTTATTTTGGATATTTGTTGTATAGTTGTATCATTGTATCGTGGCCGGAATAATCAAAGAAAACAACTCGTCACCGTCGTAAGGTGGTGGTTGCCACCTCACGCCGCCATTTTGGCGCCACCAGCTGCCACCTTGGGTGGTTGTGTGCTTTTGTGTGTGTGATTGTTATTTTCGGATGCTTGGATATTTTTTTTAGCCAAAAATCATAACCACCACCACGAGGTGGTGGCCGCCGCCGTGAGCCGCCGTTGACCACCACTACCCGAGGTGGTAGTGGGTGGTGCCCGACTTATTTAACTCTAATTGACCTAATGAAGCCCTAATTGACCTACAAACCTAACCATTTGACTAATGGACACGTGATTGGGTTGGAAACCCTAATTAGGGTTTAGAAAACCCTAATTTTTTGGGATTTGTTAATTTGGAATTGTCGGGATCCGCAAGTTTGGACCATTGGATTGGAATCATGAATTAATCCCAACCCAGTTGTATGTTTGATCTAGTAGATTGATGGACTTAATGGATTAAGTCCTTAATGGGTTAAGTAAGAAACACTTAACCCTAATCATCATTTTATGTGAAAACCCTAATTTTGCTTGGGCCTTGAGTTGGGCCTTTCTATTGGGCTTTGGTGATTGGGCTATTGATGGGATATCCAAGAACAAGTAAATGGACTAAAATATTTGGACGAGATTTAGGGTAAGGCCCATGTGAAGGACTTGGGCCCAATTTGGAAAATTAGGCCATAGATGGGCCATAATTGGGCCTTTATGATTATAAGATATTGAACCATTGGAATGCCAAGTGTTCTGACCAGAATAGATGGTTGGGCCTTAAGCTAAGGCCCATGCGAAGGGTTGGGCCCAATTTGGAAAATTGGGCCATATGTTGGGCCTTGGTCCATTGGTTGACTATTGGGCCTTTGGAGTGTGAGTTGGACCTTGGGCTTGGAATCTAATTATTAATTGGGTGTTGTTTGATGTTGATAGTTCGGGAACCTGTCATCCAGCAGTTAGGGTTTTTCCTGCGGGACTTTAGCAGTGTGAGGTGAGTTCTCCTCACTATATCGACAGGGTCTAAGGCACCAAGGCCGGCCCTTTGGATTGTTATCCTGGTTATAGTATGTTGTTATGTTGTTATGATCTGTATGATCTGTGCTTGTCTGTTGATTGATTATGTGTTATGAGTATGTCGACATATGTATGTGTATGTTTGGGTTGAGGCCGTCCTGCTTTGTGCCGAAAGCCTACAGACCCAGGGCGGCCCGGATAGACTGAAGGCCCTGCAAGGCGGACCAGTCAGGCTGAGGGCCCGACGAGCGGTCCAGATAGGCTGAAGGACCTACGAGGCGGTCCAGACGTGCCGAAGGCTCGGGAGCGGTCCAGATAGGTGATAAGTCTATTTATGAATGTGTTAAATTGTTATAAATTGGTTGAATTGATGTATAATTCTTCAAGAATGGCACTAATTTGATGATTTTTTGAACTTCATATGAAGGTCAATATATCATACTAAAGTGGGCGGAACCTGCAAGTAAAACGAATTGCTAAAGGAATGAAGAAACGTTGCTGGGAAAATAGACCATCCTTTAATGTTTCGGTCATATCTGAAGTTCTGGATTTCTGATTGACATGAGTAAAGAAGTTCTGGAAACTAGACAAGAATTGCTACAACTTTCCTGTTTTGCATTTATGTTAGTTATGTGGTTTTGACCACCAAAACTTGCACGGAAGGTGAAGGACGCTTCCTGGCGTCTAAGACGTCCCCTAGGACGTCCAAGTCAAACGGTCAGCGTCTGGGCGACTTTTGGAGCGGAGAAGAAGGCGTCTTAAATGGCATCTAAGACGTCTTCTAGGACGTCCTGGCATTTTAGGGGTGTCCCATGTTGGAACGGCGTGGGAAAGTTTAGGAATCAAGGAAGGACGTCCTAGAACGCGTCTAAGACGTCCCCTAAGACGTCTAGCGTTTTTGGCCAATTTTTAGTGTATTTCAAGGACGTCAGAAGGCATGCAAAGATGTACAAAGAACGCCTAGGCGTTATACACGACGTCTAAGACGTCTCCTGGGACGTCCAACGTCCCACATCGCCCAGTTTCATTATTTTCTGCCAAATAATATAAATAGGGACTTATGCATTCGTTTTTAGGGTTCCCACCTCCGATTTTCAGAGTTTTTCCTGCGTTTTTGAGGCTTCTAAAACCCTTGAAAACATTTGGAAACACAAATCCATTCCATTTTAATCCGGATTCAAGGCAAGATTCGATTCAATTCATCATCAAGCAACATTTGAAGATAATTCAACCGGTGATTCTCATCAATTCTAGTAATTTTCAGAAACGATTACTTCTTCCCAAGGTTTATTTGTTTCGTACTTTGATAATCATTAGGCTACATTTGTTTGATGATTCTAAGTTTGATTATGAATTCTATTATGCATTTCATTTATTTCATCCAAGTTAGTGTTTTTATGAACTCAATGGAAGGCTAAATCATTAGGGTTACTTCCGGGGATGTTTAGGACTTTTGGATGAACACACTTGATTATTACTTGATTCTAGTTAATCTCAATTGTTATTTTATGTTTAATATGATAATCTTTTGGTA